ATTGAGAGAAGAATACAGCTTAGTTTTTTTAAACGGGCAAAAAAAAAGAAATGCCCTGTGAAAATTGTTTGCGTCCACAGTCTGCGAAACGACCCCCCATACCAACCACTGGTCCTGGCAAAACATTAGTATACCGGGCCGAACTCTGGACATTCCCAGGAGCAGAGTGGACAGGCCAGAATAAGGTGTACGGAGGTACGAGATGACAGAACAGGATCCCTGCAACATCAAGAGAGGGTTTGCGGGCTAAGATGAAGTGTAGACGTGTAGCAGCTTGAAGTCAAGCCGAAGACGCTATAGGGAGCTTCCTAACCAGTGGCACCCACTTTATCTATCTTTCTAGGAGGCAGATAAGCTCCCATGAATCCTGGATAATATTAAAATTTAAAACAAGAAAGAAAGAAAGAAAGAAAGAAAGAACGAAAGAAACTCCCTTAATGATGCACGTTGTTTCTTTTTTTCTTTTTTTTTTTCTTTTTCTTTTTTGCTTGTTCTTGTACATGTCCATACTGGGTCGCTAAACCCGCTTTTCCAGCGGGTGAAGCTCCCAATCTATCAAGAGATTGGAGCCATCCTATGGGCAAGCCTCCATCTGGGTAGTTTTCTCACCGAACCTGGATGGAAGCGCTGCAGGGTGATGTAAATAAAAAAGCAGAAAGAAAAAGAAATGGGCTTTGCCGCACAACTCTTGAAAACATATATTCAAGAGGTTTGGAGGTCGCCATACCGCCTCATGAAAACATTGGCCAAAAAAATCATCGAAGATCTGTCAGAAAGGGTTTTGAAAAGTTCCTCTTGAAACACCCAAGTCCCCAGACGAGCGTGCTTGGCCGAACACTCGGACCCTCAATTTTCACGAGGTGCCAGGCACGCTACTCTAGAGAAAACAAAGAGTTATATGTTTGTCCTTTATTCATAATGGAGTACATTGTCCACGAGAGTCCCCATTTCAAGAGTGCTGTGTGGCGAACGGCCAAAACTCTTGAAAATGTCTCTCTCTCTCTCTCTCTCTCTCTCTCTGACACACACACACACACACACACACACACACACACACACACACACACACACACACACACACACACACACAGATGGGCAGTTTCCTTGGCACATGCGCAATTCCCATCTTTAAAGTGGATACATATGCAATTTTCCTGGTGCCAAGTTGAAGTTGGGATGGATGGCATAGTCTCGTGATACCCCCGAGGCCACAAAAAGGGAAAGAAAGTCTAGCTCAAGAAGACAAGTGGGTGTGATTGTAGTCCGAGTCAGGATTCAGAATGGTGCCGCAGACTAAACCATGTGATTCTCTGAGGGGGACCGAAGATTCAAAGACAAATCTGAAGTATCGTATTTTAAAAGACTACTTCGGAATGCTGTAAACAAAAAGGCTGAACTGCCATCTTCCCAGAAAAGGATCAGGCGAGGATTCAATAATGCGCACTCTATCCAACGAAAACAGTGCAGAAGACAGGAAAACAAAACGATCTATAAGTTTAGTTCTTAAGATTCTTTTAATTCTCAACCATCTTAGCCAATTACAGTGAATGGTCACCGGTCAGCCAAGAATGCCAGCGCAGAGTGTACCATGGGTCGGGGGGTAAGGTTCATAGCTCAGTTGCTTAGAACTCCGGCATTGCAACCGAGAGATTGTGGGTTTCACTCCCGTTTCTCCTCATCCTGTTCTGCATATGCTCGGTTGGTGATCCACCATGCCACCCAATGTAGTTGCCCCCCACCCTACCGCAGCAATCTCTCTCTCTCTCTCTCTCTCTCTCTCTCTCTCTCTCTCTCTCTCTCTCTCTCTCTCTCTCTCTCTCNCTCTCTCTCTCTCTCTCTCTCTCTCTCTCTCTCTCTCTCTCTCTCTCTCTCTCTCTCTCACACACACACACACACACACACACACACACACGCCATTGGGAAGCGTCTGGGGATCATTGCCTGATGGGGTATGCGAGTCACCGACGCGAGAATGAGTCAAAACCTCGGGGGCGGCAGCCCGAGGAGCAGATGAGAACTCAGAAGGGAACACTGCTCTACAGGGCATTACCACGAAGAGAAATGAGAGATGCAAATCACGTCCCTACTTGCAACGACAGCCTCGATGAGTGTTGGACAGCTTAGCATCTTTATGCCCAACTGCAGCCCAACTGCAGTCTGAGAGTGGTCTACGTGAAGAGAAAATTCCACGTACTCGGTTATTCTCCGCCATTGCCTTCACTACTCTCATGTTGACCTGCTCCAACTGCTGCTCCTTGCCGAGAGTTTCACCAGACTCGACGACTTTCTCGACGGCATCTTGCATGCATATGAATCGTTCAATCTCCCTGACAGTGTGTTGTGCATACTCTGGTGCAATGAGGCAACGCAAGCGCATGTGGTGCGTCGATGTTTGCTTTCCTCTTCTTCTTCTTCATCATCATTGTTGTTGTTCTTATCATCTTTCCATGTGGTGCTTGCACAATTAGTGAGCAGAGGTTGGGAAGAGGGAGAAGTTTAGCGTGGCACCCTACAATCTGCCGTAATAGGTAAATTCAAGATTGTGGTATTTCACTCATCTGCTTCGAGCATAGTTCGAACTCGGGTCTGTATTTCAACAGTAAAGGGGTGTACCAACTGAGCTATGCCAATTGGTAAATTGTGCTCGTTTTGTTCTGACATCTGTGGTTTTCTTTCTTTCTCTACTCCTGCTGACTTCTTCCCTGACCTGTTTTTTGCACAAGTTGCTACAAAGCTCAAAATAATGTTGTCTGGACGTGTCATTTATGTGGTCCAGGCTACTGGGAAAAAAATAAAATAAAATAAAAATAAAATTAAAATAAAAATAAAATAAAAATAAAATAAAATAAAAATAAAAAAGGGGGAAAAAAAAGGGAAAAAAAAAAGGAAAAAACAGGGGAAAAAAAGAGAAAAAAAAAAAGAAAAAAAAAAAAGGAAAGGAATATACCTTTCTTGACCTTTTGGTTAAGATCAAGTGTAGTATCTGTTCTGGTCAGTTTAATATCTGATCCGTTGTCCATCGGGCCACCTTTAAACAAAAAAACAGAGAATCAGATGGCCAGGGTAAGAGCCATTCTTGCCACTCTCTCTGACAGATGCAGCCTCGTGCAGGTCATGGTACATGGTCCTTGTACCAAAAGGTCATCTTCCCTCAGCCTTCGCCTTCTTTCCAGTAGACTCAGCATTTCATTAAAAATTGGCAATGGGCCCTGCCAGCTGCTTACTACCTCGGCATACCTACACCAGGACTTTTTTGACTGACCTCCGGTCATGATACGACTCGGATACATGCACGCCTGGCCGTAATTGCAGTCAGATGCATGTGGGGATGTGCTGGTCTGACTATCCCTCCAGTGTACTGTTATAAAGAGAGTCCGTACACACGTGTAAAACATGCCTTTGTTGCTGGATTGGTTGACTGTAACAGCCCGGTTCCCAGCACGTGCTGCTCCCCACGAATAGATGGGAGCTTTGTTCCCATTTAAAAAAAAAAAAAAAAAAAAAAAAAAAAAAAAAAAAAAAAAAAAAAAAAAAAAAAAAAAAAAAAAAAAAAAAAAAAAAAAAAAAAAAAAAAAAAAAAAAAAAAAAACACGGGTTGATTGTAACAGGTGCTGGATCATTCCTCAGGGCATGGAACCATACAGAAAAGATTAACATGGCCCACATGCACAAATCGAGAAAGGGAAAACCAAAAATATGCTGGGTGAAAGTGCCCGAGTGAGGACATACTCACACTAGGACCTTTTTGTGTTCATCATCATCGGCCCGAGTGTCCTTAAACCACCATTACTTGGCCCATCCATCGGCCGCGAGGCCCTCCCCGCGACTCTCGGAGGCCGGCGGTGCACTCTGGGCCGTTGATGCGGTTCATCATCATCGGCCCAGAGGCCGCGAAAGTTGCGGGGCATTAACGACAACGCCCCGTGGCCGATGTATGGGCCAAGTACTGGTGGTTTAAGGACATGAACAGGGTAGACCAGGCATGGGACTAGCGTCTTCACCCAAAAATATCGCCCGGGCAATATGGACACAAGCAGAATGTCTGCCGGGCGTCTTTCTCCGTGTATAAAGCCCAGGCAACTTCTTTAGGCCAGAAAAAGAAGAAGGAAAAAAAAAAAAACAATCAAGCAATGCGGTAAAACAGATAAGTTGTATAGAGTTGCAATGCAACCAACCTCTGTCGGACAGTCACACCGCTCGGAAGTTGTAACGCCTTTAGCCCCCTTTTGCCCCCTCTACAGGTCTATTTGGTTATGTTTTGGGGTAAGTTGAGCATACGCCAGGGGGTCATTTTCGGGTAAAGACAGTAGCTGAAAAACTAAAAATGAGGGAACAAGAAACTAGAAACAAAAACAGAAGTCCTTGGGAACATCTGTTAAAATTGGAACAATATAGAGAACATATATCGTCACAAATAGAACTGCCTACGGTAAACCTTAGGCAGAGAGGGAGAAGGAGAAGAGGACAACAAACGAGGGGCTGTGACAAACTGTTTCGTCGGAGTTTCACCGACTCATCAGGAGGCTGAACCCTCAACAGTCTGTAGAACATATATATATATATATCGTATATATATATATCGTCAAATAGAACTGCCCGGTATGTTTCTTTCTTTCTTTCTTTTTTGTCCTTGCTTTCTTTAGGATAAATAAATAGGAACTCCATGGCCAAGCCTTCTTTAGATCTAGGGAGCACCATTCTGGGGTCCAGGTGGTAGTTTTCAAACACAGCCGGCATACTGCAGGGCTTGTCAGACACACTTAGCCTGAAGAAGAAGAATGCTTAGTACAGAGAGGAGGAGGAGAAGCGGCAGAAGATGAAGATGAAGATGAAGATGAAGATGAAAATGTTATTGTTATGGGAATTCAACTCCATCATGTGATGGTTGGAAAACACCAAGCTCAAGACGAGCAGTGAGAGCAAAACATGCCCGAAAACACCACGCTTTAGAAGACGAGAGACGGCAAAACATGCCCAAATTTACCGACACAACACCCATAAACACAGGTTTGGTCTCTGCGCTGTTGCTGCCGCCCAACAACAGGGGCACTCCAACCAGACGTTTCCAAAACACTCACTCCCTACGCCGAATGACCTTGCAGATGGTTGCGATAAAAAACAAACAACAACATCTCTCCCAACAAGGGAACGCTATTGATTGCTTCGCGAAGGCAATAATGGAGAACAACGCACGGCCAAGCTACAGGCACAACACCCACCCATAAACACAGGTTTGGTCGCTGCGTCGTTGCTGTTGCCGTTGCCCAACAACAGGGGCACTCCAACCAGACATTTCCAAAACACTGACTACCAATGCAAAATGACCTTGCAGAGGATTGTCAGAAGAAAAAAACAAACAAACAACAACAACAACAACAGCTCTTCCGACAAAGGAACGGTATCGATTGCTTCTCGAAGGCGATAACGGAGAGAACAACGAACGGCAACAAATCCGTTTCTCCGACCTGGAATCCCAGCTCGTCTCGAAGTCGACATCATCCCAGTTGCATCGACCGATCCAAATACTGCGAAGAAGCTCGGTGGACAAATTCGTCGTCAGCCTCAGCCGGAACAAAACTCTGAGCAACGCCAGTCAAGAATCTCACAAAACAAATAGAATGATCAAAAGATAATGAAAATATTCCATGCGACTCAAGCGTCTAAGTCCCCGATACGGTCCAATCCACCCAAGGAAAACCCCAACAGTGCGGAGTGCAGATGACACACCCAACCAATACCCTAAACTCGCTGAAAACAGATTCGCAACAGGACTTTCCTCAGTGTATAGCGAACAAATCGCATCCAGAAACAAAATGCTGTGAGCATGGCGGCCAATTCGTTACGTCTCCGACACACGCTTCCCTCCTCGCTGCCTGACGCTATGTGGTTGCCAAAAAGACGACGAGCAATATGACCAGAAGCCAACAACATCCCTTCCGCCAAACGTCCAACCCACTCTCCGCAACATAGATTAATTACTGACAGCATATTCCTCCTCCAAGTTTCCCCCTCTTGCCACAACCTCTAGCATTTTCTCCCCTTTTGGGGGGGCCCTCCACACAATCTCCACCTTGTCACAGCGGACCCGGTCAAAAGGCGTAAGTCCCCCAATCAATTCCAAGGGCCGTTGGCAATCCATCCAGGGGTGAAGGGAGTTCCGAAGCAGACCTAGTCAATCTATGGTCGAAAGACGATCCGAAGTGCCCCGACGATAGAATGCCTTGAGACATTCAACTAGACATTGTATCGAGGACCTCACAGTTCTAACAGAAAAGGAAACGGATTGCGGGCTGGATCATCAGCCAACATTATGACACTGTGGTTCTGCCTAGCACACCCAGTAATGTGAACCCACTGCCGCTTGAAATGGAAAGGGCAGCCGCAACCAAAATGTCATACGCCAACGGATTGCAAATTGTGAACGTACTTTCACACATAGCCATGCATGCGTATCTGAACGCCAACTGGAAAAAGCACTGCCATTCAGCAATTTTTAAACACGCACTACCAATCCACACCCCCCAGATTGAAGATGGGGTCCACAAAAAAAAAAAAAAAAAAAAGCAAAGCTTGGCATTACGAATCAACCCATTCGATATAAAAGACGCAGGAGACCAAAACTTAGCGTTCGCACCAGATAGGCAAAAGATGTGGCCGCAAAAAAACTCAAAAAAAAGGCTAAGAAGAAGAATATAGATCTGAAATCACCCAATCGCTGACCTGTCTGTTGCTTTACCTGCTCTCCGCCTCACCAATTAGTAGTAGTAGTATCACCCGTCTGAACCCGCCAACAAGTCGACCTGTCTGATTTTGGGACGTCCGTACACCCCTTATTTTTTTTTCAGGTAAGAATCATCGAGATGCCTCTAAAACAGTGCACTCTCCTCCATAGTGCCAGATAAATCCAATCCTGAAAAATGCAAAAACAGCACCCATAGCCACAATAACAAACTCCAATTCAATATTATGCTCTTCGAATGAGACAAGCACTCCGTTGGACAAGTGCACGATATAACTCAAGAGTGTAGTCAATCAGCAAAATTCCACGAGTCAAGAATAATGAACTCCACTGATCGAGAAGCTCGAAAAAGAACAGACGGACAAAAAAGAGAGCGGCGACGCCAAGTGAAACGCGATGTCAATCTATACACTCATGCCCAAAAACACTGCAGGGGCTTCTGCCGCTGTAGAAATGGTGACGAGTGCTAAAGGACGCACGGCAGCATACCATAAGATCACTCACGTAATTGCACATGACATGAAGGACAAATTGAAAACCAATCCAACATCGTTTACAAGTGCCCATCAATCTGGCGAAAGAGACCTGACCTGTTTGGGGTGATCATTCTCCCGCTCGCCTTTTTGCTCGACTCGTTGTACCAGATAGTTTGTGGCCTAAAAGACAGCCTTACCCCGCCAGTTTTGCTTCGAGGTTTAAACCCCACCAGTACCTACCGGTTGGGGAGCAGCCGTTAACGCCGAAGCCGAATCGGCCTGCCCCTCCGGTCCAAATTCATTAGAGGTCGGGGGGTACGAAAAATGTGGTAGGTACTGGTGGTTTAAACCACCGGTTACTTCACACAAGCCTAAGTTGACGAAGCTACCTTTCAAGGCTCACGAGCCTGCAACTGCGCCTTTTCAAAGCGGCCTGCGGCTTTCGCAATGGGCCCAGGCCCGAAGCGGAACAGTCCTACAGCGTGTACCGGCAAGGCCACAGCTTTGGCTCGCGTGAACAGGTGGTTTAAACATTGGGCATGCAGGTACCAAGCCTCGAATACGGTCCTGCACTTGCACATGGAGGTGATCTTCTCCTTCGCGTGCTCTCTTAACACGGTAGAAAAAGAACGCCCTTCCTTCCACTTGTATGCAACAAAGAGCTGACGTGAGAGCACCCACGCAACAAAGGGCCGACGTGAGAGCACCCACACACAATCCCAACATCGTGACGGGATTCACGAGATGCCAAATGTCCGACGAAATAACGACAGCAACACAGAAAGACAACACTTCTGAGGGGCCCTCTTGAGTATTATATACCTTTCACACCAAGCGTTGAGCTAGCTGCCCCACTCAGAGTGGGGGAAGCCTGGCGTCAGCTTGTTTTAATGGAAAAGAACCTACCAAGTCATTTTACAAAAAAACAAATTATTTTCGAAATCGAGAAAACTGGCCAGCCCACCTTTTTCGTTAGCTCGCGGAAACAGAAAAAAAGCACACCCTCCGATCTCGACAGTGCTCTGACCCGAAACGTCACCCAGTGCATCGGTTGGTTGAAAACTCATCACTAAGCCACATCATCCATGCTACTGGGACATGGTCCCAGGGGCCAAGTCCCACATGACCCGGTTCTTCAATTCTGGCCGTCGATCTTCAGCATCAACGGTCAAAAATAGAGAATTCAGGTAAGTGGAACTCGGCCCTCGGTCTCTCCATGTCGTAGTTCGGGTAATACATGGAACTCGGCCCTCAGTCTCAGAAATAGAGAGTTCGGGTAACGGAGGGAGGAGGGGAGGGGAGGGGGGAGGGAGGAACTGAAGAAAACAGGAAAAAGTCTGAGAGCAGGAATGAGTTAATTAGAGATCAGGACAGAGAACGAAGAAAAAATCAGGACACAGAACAAAGAGCGAGAAGACGGATTAGCAGCAAGAAATCAGTGGACGGGTAACGAAGGACGGGGACAAGGAGGAGGAGGAGGAGGAAGAGGAAAAAACAGAAAAAATCCATGTCGTATAACAATTATGTACTTCTTTTCTTATAGGTATTTAGTACTTCTTATTATATTTTTATTCGACACCTCCATTTTCCGACGAACGGGGGAAAAAACACAGGAGACCTCAATTCGTTGTTTTTAATACCTTTCTCGACCTTTTGGCTAAAAATAGATCAAGTGTAGAATCTGTTCTGATCAGTTTCATATCTGATCCGTGGTCCATCGGGCCACATTTAAAAAAAAAAGAAAAAAAAAAAAAAAGAAAAGAAGAAGGCCAGAGAGAGGTGCTTTTCGGAACGAGTTTGTTTCAAAATCAAATCAATTTCGTCGGCGTGCAATTGACACACTTCGCCATCGTTCCTGTTTGGTTCCTTGAATTTGGTCTTGTTGGGTTTCTACGATGGTAGTGAATTTGAATGAGACGGAGTATAGGGTTGGGGTTCGTTGACATTTCGTGAGCGAGATTCGCACATAAAATTTGAAGCCTGTTTTCCGTCGGGAAAAAAAGGGGGGGGGAAACGGATTAAAAAAAATATATATATATTTTTTTTCCGACAAACCGAGGATATGGAAACTAAAACATTATCTAAGGGGGGAAAAAACACTCAACGAGGACAAAACACAGGCAGGGTAGACTTGCGGGGGGAAAGAGAGACACACACACACACACACACACACACACACACAGAGAGAGAGAGAGAGAGAGAGAGAGAGAGAGAGAGAGAGAGAGAGAGAGAGAGAGAGAGAAACGTGTTCTCCGGCAATATGGAAGCTACGACAAATGAGAGAGACAATGTCAAGCAGGCTCAAAAAAAACGGAGAGCGAGAGAGAGAGAGACACGGAGGCACAGAGATACACAGACAGACAGAGAGAGACAGAACGCACACCAGAGAGAGAGAGAGACAGAGGGGGGGAGGCGGGAAGAAGCACACAAACTCACCTGTCTCTCGATCGTTTCATCATGCGATTTAAAAAAAACAGAGAGAGAGAGAGAGAGAGAGAGAGAGAGAGAGAGAGAGAGAGAGAGAGAGAGGCACAGAGATGAACAGAGAGACAGAGCGCGCCACAGGGAGAGAGAGAGAGAGACACAGAGGGTGGGGAGGCGGGAAAAGCACACAGACACACCTGTCTCTCAATCGTGTGATCGTTGACGTCAAGGATTTTCGGAATTAGCATCTGCATCAGCATCAGCAGCTGCAGCAGCGGATTTGGTTCCTGGCCCGTTGACGTCAACAACCTGCCCTTGCGCTGCGACCTGTTCCGCTGCGGGAGCATCCTGCGCATCCTCCGGCGGCGGCGGTACATCATCGACGACTGCCGACGACGAAGGGCATTCGTCGCTGACCTGGCCATCGTCGTTCTTCCGCCCTTGCGCACTGTCATCTTCTTCGTCGTTCACTTTCTTCGCAATGGTGCTGTCGCCCCCTGGACCACAAGAAAGGTCAGGTACGTCGGCATCGGGATCCACACCATCGCCATCGCCATCGGCCCGGACCTCGGCGCGCTTATCATCATCAGGACTCTCGCTGGGAGGTTTCCTGCACTCCCCATCCTCGTCATTCCCTGTGGAGGAAGACGACAACGAGGTCGGAGTCCCGACAAGACCGTTGCTAGCCGCGACAGAACTCGCGGCGGCGGTGGCGGCGGCGGCGGTGGCGTCGCCATCGCCATCTCGAGAAGCCGAAGAAGATGAAGACGGTTCCCCAGCCTCCCCGCCCGTCCGATCCCGATCTGCGACTTCAGGCGCAGATCCAGATGCCTCCTCCCCCTCCTCCTCCTCCTTAGACGGAGTGGAGGGAGGAGAGGAGGAGGACGGGGAGCCACTAGCACTGGTATTAGTGCTCGTATCATTAGCAGCAGCAATAGCATCCGGAGCAGGAGCAGGAGCAGCAGCGGCACCTTTCTTCTGCAGCTCCTGATAATGGGTTTTCTTCGCCTTGAGCTTCTCGATGGCGCTCGGCAGATCGCTGACGGTAATAGGCGCGCCGACGCCCAGCTTCTCTAACGATGACAGTGCATCTAGGGACAACGACACCTTTTCCGTGCCTCTGGCCGCCGCCGCCGCCGCCGCCGCTCCCGCCGTCGCTGGCGCGGTTGCCCCTCCTCCTCCTCTCCCTTTCTTCCCGCCCTTCTTTCCCCCTCCTCCTCCTCCTCCCCCTCCCCCTCCCCGTCCCCCACTGTAGAACCACCCGTCCATGTCTTTGTCCTTCTTCGAACTCATAATGACCATCCCTTCCGGCGCAACCAGCGCCGCCGCCGCCACCACCTTGCCCCCCCCCCCGCCTGCCGCGCAACCCTGCGCAGGTACCATCTTCTGCATGTAGTTGATCAGCTGGTCGCAGTTTATTATCTCATCCGTATAGGGTTCGACGTAAAACTCCGCCTCCCTTGCCTTCCTCCTCTCATACACCTCCTTTCTCTGCTGCTCTCGCACTAAGTACTGCCTCCGCCGATCCTCCTGCTGCTGCGCGCGGAAATCCCTCTCCCGCTGGTAATAATCGTCCTCCCTCTTTCTGAAGTCCCCTCTCAGCCGTCGGATTTCATCTCTACTTTGCCTTATCTTTTCGAACAACCCCGCTCTCTCATCAATCAAGGAGGGCATGTCGATTGTCTGCGAGTCTTCCCGCGCCCGGATGGCCGCCATAACCTCCCGCTGCTTCTGCTGGTGCTCCTTGAGTTGAGTCAGCAGCACATCTTTCTCCTTGATTCTTTCCAAGTGTTCGTTCCTTGCCGCCTCGTCCCTGTGCATCCTGTCTTGGTGATCTTGAAGGAAACTGCGCGACTTTTTGAGATTGGAAAGGTCGGCGACCGCCTTCTTCTCCTCTTGCAGAGTTAGGGTTGTATGGGCCATCTTCAGTTCTATCTTCTTGATCTCGTCGTCGATCTCTTCCAGACACACAAAGGGGAGGCGCTCTCTCAACAGCTTAGTCTGCTGACGCATGCTCTCGAGTGCCGCGTCGGTGATCGCCAGCTGCTCCCAGAGAGCTTTCTTCTGATCGACTGCGGTCTTGAATTGAGCCGCAATTAGGGCCAGGTGATTGCGCGCCTCCGTCATCTCCTGAGAGAACCCTTGTCGTTTTCCTTGCTTCTCATCAAGCAATCGTTTGATCTCATCGATGCGCGTTTGATGACCGTCGATGGAGGCGTTCAATTTGCCCACCTCCGCCTCTAGATCGGCCTTGTTAGGCTTTTCCAGTCTCTTCACCCGGCCTTTCGGTTTCTTGTTGTTGTCGATCATCGCAGAGGCTTCTTCCTCGGTGACCCCTCCCAACCCACCCACCATCTTCCCATCCATGACCTCACCGTCTTCGACCACAGTCGCCATCTTCGTTCCACGCAGAACCTGCCAGAGAGTGCAGCAGAGAGAGAGACCGAGAAGAGAGAAAAGGCGAAGGGAAGAGGGGGGGAGGGAGGGGAAAAGAGAGAGAGAGAGCCAGGGGAGGGAGGAGGGAGAAAGGAAGAGAGAGGCGAATCGACCACAGAGAGAGAGAGAGAGGATATAAATTAGAGAGAAACTTATTTGGAAGATAGAGAACCCGGGAGGACGGGAGGCGAATCGAGCACACAGAGAGAGAGAGAGAGAGAGAGAAGATATAAATAAGGGAGCAACTTATTTGGGGGAGAGAGGTTTGTGAGAGTGATATCAAGAGAGGTGGAGGAAGAGAAAAGTTCAGGGGAGATTCACCAAGGGAAAATCGATTTTTTTAATTTTTTTCTATCCAAAGGAAAATCTTAAGACGAAGAAATTTTACCTCTGGCGCTCGGATAACCTGCTGCGCTGAGAAACTCCTTAGGAAGAAATTTTCCATTTAAGGAATGGAGAAAAACTGAAAGGGTAAAAAAAGAGAACAAAACTCAACGAGTTGACCCAGATTCTCAACGCAGATCGACGGGCAGAACGCACATCGACGCCTCTCCTCCTCCTCCTCCTCCTCCTCCTCCTGCTCCTGCTGCTGCTGGTGGTACTGCAGAGCGGCTGAACAGGAGACAGAGAATGCCAAGCAAACACTACCTACCTTTTTTTCTCACAAGATGTCCCTACCTTCTCTTCTCTCTCCCTACCTCAACACGAAAGGGAATGTCATAGAAAACTATCAATGAACTTACACTGCACACCTTACTATCCCTTTCCTCCTCCTCCTCCTCCTCCTCCTCCTCCTCCTCCTCCTCCTCCTCCTCCTCCTGACTCTCTCCCTCTTCTCTCTCTCGGGGCGGTTTCATTAAATCACGGATCTCGTCGGTAGCATTTCCGCCAGTGAATATGGCCGAAATTGCATCAAGATACGTCCAGCGAAACTCACCTCCCATCCAGCACGAGAAATTGGGTTGACCCTGCACTCACCAGACATCCAACCCGAGAATCAGACTACCCCTACCATGTAAGTGCCTATTCACACTTTGCACTTTCTTTAATTAATCTGGCCATCATTGCGCCAAAATACGTTCACGATACTAAACTCCCTCATCTCCATTCACATCACAGCCAATCGACGCGCCTCTCACAGAGATTGAAAAAGTCATGCCCTATACATCATGCAGCCCAATTATAAACCCCTTCAAATCACCCATACACCCACATATAGAAACATTGGACTAGATATATAACATATCTATATATCGTCCAACAATTCTGCCTACGGTAAACCGTAGGCAGAGAGGGAGAGAAGAGAGAGAAGAGGAGAACAAACGAGGGAGGAGGGGCTGTGACAAAACTGTTTCGTCGGGGAGTTTCACCTACCTACTCTCATCAGGAGGAGGCTGAACCCTCAAAAACAGTGCACAATCCCAAAAAAAAAAAAAAAAAAAAAAAAAAGTCTCCACAATCCCCTACCTAACTGATTACACTAAGTGATATAATCCCCACCTTAACCCCGGTTATGGTTAAGCATCAACGACTGCCCAACAACCGATACCCCTCTGAGGTGGTGGGGACCACCAACCACTGCCCTCAAGGTGTACCTGTGACGAAAATCGAAGCACACGATCACTCACCCACACCAGATGGAAAACTCTACAGACTGTCTGTCGCTTCACACCCCATCACAAGCCAGCAAAACACATAACATAACATTACATTAATAATTTAACATATATGTACAATACAATATGTAATTTCATTGCGTATATAATTCGTTCAAATGGTCAAATATTATTTGTTAATACTAATCCACAAAACAATAAAATAATTCCGAAAATGGCAAAAGAAACATGTCAAAGTCTAGGCTGCCGGAGTGGCCCGGGGTCACTTGCCCGGCCGGACCAAAACTCTTAAAAAAAATAAAAATGAAATAAATATTTTTAAATTTCATTTTTTTTTCCACATTTGGTGAAGAATTTCGATGTGACCCTCAGGCAAAAGGTGTTCAGTTTATGTTTCTGCATAACATAGTTTTTTTTTCGGGATTTTTGGGAGTTTTTTTCCTTTTTCTTTTTTTTTGCTGGGACCTTCCCTGGTCCTTGCACGGGCTGGGCACCCGGGACCCGGGCGGCCCGGCTGGTAGCCTACTGTAGGTGAAAGTTATATAAATCATAAATAGACTGGAGGTCTTTTAACCAATTGGAAGCACATTTTTCATGTACAAGCGCATTTGAAATAACTTATCACTCAAAATCATCAAACAGAACTGCCCGGAAAAAAAAAAACAGAACTGCCCGATAAACCGTAGGCAGAGAGGGAGAAGAGGACAACAACAACAAACGAGGGGCTGTGACAAACTGTTTCGTCGGAGTCATCAGGTATATATAATAAAATTAACATATAAAATATCGTCCGAGAGAGCTGCCCGATGATATAAACATAAAATTATAAAATATTAAAATTAAAATATAAAATGTAATACAAAAATATAAAATATAAAATCCGACTGCCCTATACGCACATATAACATAACCCCCCTAATACAGTGAATCAGACCAGATACAGTCCCATATATAGTAAATCCGACAGACTCCCTCCCTCCCYCCCCCCCCCCTCTCCCCTCCCCCCTCCCCCCTCCCTTCCTACAGTAAATCAGAACGAACGCCGTATGAAAAGCACTCGAACGAGATGAGCACGACTACGGTCTTCCCCCACCCCTTCCCCGCACCCCATTAGCCCCATTAGAACGGATCATTAAAGCAGAATTTGGGCAATTTTCGGTCTAGATACATCGATAACGACTGTGCGTTCAACTGAACAGAGAAGACGGTCAGATGCATTAACTATTTACTAGTATCTTCATCTTCATCCTCTTACAACACAAGCCCACAGTTGACATTCGGGGATGTATCTTCCCGCAATTTAAGGTCACGGCCATACTGTGCATATGCACTTGTTTAGCGAAACGACCGGGGGGGGGGGGGGAGGGGCCGGGGGGGGGGGGGGGGGGGGCGGGGGGGAAGTCGAAAAAAATCCGTAAAGGATCGTAAAGGATTATAGTTTATTTTTTCAAAAAAAAAAAAAAAAAACTTCGCCGTTCACATATACCTGCATATATGCATGCGCCTACATCCACATCCTTTTTTTTTTTTTTTTTYCCTCCAMWTHTTTTTTTTTTTTTTCAACATTCATTTAGTTCCATGAGGATTCGAACCAACTGAGCTAGGCTGCTTTTTCCCTCCACATATCCTCTTTTTGTTCAAAAAAATAAATAAAAAAAAATTCGCCGGTCTATATTTCCGTACTTCGTGTGTGTACCAACTGAGCTAGGCTGCTTTTACACCACAAAACCAAAAAAAAAAAAGAATTAAGAAGAAAAAAAAATCAACAACAACATCGACCAGGAGCAAGGTACCACTTACCAAAGCAAAGAGGATTTTGAATCAAGCGCCTGCATCTGGACTGGTTTTTACCACATGCAGAACAGCTGATGAATCGGGATTTTGTTTTCTGCACCTTTCCACAGAGACGTCCAGATTCAGCCGTGTTGGTCCAATCCTCTTACTCGTGGAACTTTTTTTTTCCCCCTATCCTCCTTCCACCTTTCATTATCTACCTACCACTACTACTCCTATACAGGGGACCCCTGCAAGCATAGCTACCTCTCACAATTAAGGGGATGCATGTTGCCTCCCCGCCGCCCTACCCCTTCTTCCCCCGAACACAACGTACGGTCATTATAGCTGTATTGGGGGCATCTTTCAGTCTAAATACAGCTATAATGACCATACGTTGTATTCGGGGGAAGAAGGTAATCGGCGGTGGTCAGGGAGTAGGGGGGGTCCGTCGGTGGGAGGGTGACGATTAACGCAAAGACTGAACATTTTGCCCCCATCTTCTTCCCCCAACCCCCATCGAATAACAGCAGTGTCTAAGGCCAACAACACTCTCCCACACACGCACAACCCACTCACACTCACACTCACACCCGTGTTGGTCATACACCCTCGCCCCAGCTTTAAACAACGCTAGACGGGTAAAAAAAAAAAAGGGAAAACAACGCTAGAAGAGGGGGGGGGGGGGGGGGGAAACGCTAGAAGGTAAAATAAAAAAGGAAAAACAACGCTAGAAGGGGGAAAAATAAATAAAAAAAATTGACCAGACATAAAACGTTAGCGAGGTCTTTCGGGACATCCGATAAAATTCGAACGACACAACGAATGAAGCGGGTTTTTTTTTTTTTTTTTTTTTAAGGAAAGAAGCTTAGCATGGCCCCTGCGCAAGGATGGCACGCATAAATCCAGAAATAGACCAATTTGTCTAAAGAAAAGGGAAGGGAAAAAACAAAAAAAACGCTAGCAAGCACTCCGGGACAACAATGAAACCGGAACGACAGAGAGAAGATTAGCATGGCATTCCATGGAGCGTAACTTTTCGTGGTGAGGAGGAGGAGGAGGAGGAGGAGGAGGACAACGACCACGTGAAATTGTGTGACAAGCGATGGCCAAGCTGCTGTCGCACATGTCTTCATCTTTTTCAAAAAGCAAAAACATGAGGAGGAAGGGGACAGAAAACTCAACGATATGTTTAACTGCAAAGGAGGAGGACAAGTGAAAACAGGGCCCAACTGAAACGGGGCCCAACTGCCTTTCGTACACGCTTCAAATTCAAAAGCTATTTTTGACACACGTAAGAAAGTACCTTTAAAAGGAGAAGACATGCATACTGGAAAGAGGAAGAAGCGGGAAGTGGCAAGAAAAAGGAAATTTAAAGGAGGTGGAGGGGAAAAGGGGGGGAGAGGGAGGGGGGGGGGAGGGAGAAGAGAGATGAGAGATGAAGGATATCGATAAACAGAGAACATAAACTCTCTTCGTGCACGCTTCATTACAAGTTCCATATGCATCCGCATGTACTAATCTTAGAGAGAAAAGAAGACAGGAGGAGGAGGAGGGGGAGGAGGGGGAGGAGAAGGAGGAGGAGGGGGAGGAGGAGGAGGAAGGGGAGGAAAACAGAGACCAGTGAACGGGAATCGGTCATTATGCTAGCGTCTTCCACCGCATAGAACGCTTAACGTCATTATCGCTGCATTTGACCGGATTGTGCCCCCAATTCAGCTATAATGATCGTCCGGTCTATTCGGAGGAAGACGGTAATCTTCAGTCCATGCAACAAAAAAGAGACGCTTCGCACTGCAGTCATCCATAGCTTAGTGCACCTGTCGAAACGAAGGGCAGGGAGGAGGAAGATGAATGGTGGGGCAAACTCACCTACTTCGTGCCGAACGCTAGATCGCCTCCTGCTCACCACACGTTACCTCTCTCTCTCTCTCTCTCTCTCTCTCTCTCTCTCTCTCTCTCTCTCTCTCTCTCTCTC